TGAAACGTTTCGGTAAGAGTTTTTCCAATTTTAAAACCAAAATTTAATCTTGGCTCTTTGCTCGAAGCTCATTTTCGCACCAAACACAACATGCTGACACTTAAAACGCAAAAACTTCACTTCCAAACTGAATAAAATAAATTGATTTTGCCGAAAAAACCATTTGTTCTGTTTTTTTTTTTTAAAGCCCTGTTTTCGTTGGAACACACCTTGTACATACAAGTATACATATATTATCTCCAGAAAAAAAAATTAATTTATCAAGCAGATTTATTGGAGGCTTCTTAAAAGCCGTATCATTGTGTTTTGGCGAACTTAAAAATAATAATAACTTAAAATGCCCTTCGGGAACGAGTTTAACACAGAAAATGAAATAAAAATCAGAACTATGGCTGATTGTAACATTAAAGTCGGTGTTATTGTTAAAGCACTAATCAAGCATCGGAATACCGTCTCAAACTTTTTAAAATTTCCGAAAAAATATGCTCAAAACCACCGAAAAGGCACTGTTCCCATAGTTGGTGAGATATTCGAGCTTTGATATCCACCAAAATGATGAGCTGCGCCCAGGTCAGGGCAGAATTAAAGATTCCAATAATTGGGCTACAGTTGCAATAAATTTGGCAGGAAGGAAATAGGTCTCCAATATGACGCCAAGGTGCGTAAACCAAAGCTGTTGCACCGACATAATATGGTCTATCTTGTCTTTTACGGAAAATACAATTTTTGGGACAGGGAATTTAAAACGGACAAGTTCAGTAATCAAAAATGTTTAATTTAGTTAGCCAAGGTAGAAACCAAAGGTATTGACGCGATCCATGCAATCCCCGACAGATTTGAAACATATGCAACCATGGTGGGCTCACTCATGATATGGGCGGCTTTTAGATCCTTTGGTAATTTTTTTTAGAAATTTCAGTAGGATAACGCTCCAATACATGTTGCACGATTAGCATGACGTTTTTCGAGACAAGAAATATTCCCTTAATGCAGTGTCCTGCAATACTTGTAAGTCCGGATTTAAATTCAATTTAGGACCTTTAGGGCACCCTATCAGGCAAAGTTTATAGGTGTGTTAAAAAATTTGAAAGAGGCCATTGTCTAGGAATGCCCAAAAATTGTCATAATCGTCCTTCAAAAGTTGGTTAATCCATGTCCTGAGCGTTGCAATTGGTCAAATAACAATATCACTATATCCTACTAAAATCATAAGTAAATTGTATTCTAAATGTAAATAATAATTACAGTTTAAATTTCTTTTCATGAATGAAAAATTTGTTTACCTTAATTTATTATTGATCAAATTATCAAAAATGAAATATATTTATGGTTTCTTAATTATTTAATAGATATTAATGGCAGAGTTTCTAATAAACTTTTAAAAACGAGTTGCACAAATATAAATTTTACTGAAGTATGTAGATCGACACGTCTTGTCATGCTGATCAAGAATATATACTTTGCTAGAATAACCAAAATTTTTCGAAACCCAACAAAGGTTAGTGATTATGATAGATCAATTATGAAGATGGGGCCTCAGTGGCGTAGTGGATAGCGCACGCGCACACCAAACAAGAGGTCGTGGGTTCAAGCCCCACTCATGGCGAGAGCATGACCCCCGAACTAGCTTTCTCCTTTGGACAAACTCCCCGAAATACATGCTGGTCATTTTAACCACCAAACACATCCATCCACGCTATCTGGACAGCACCAATAGTAACCCCCCCAAGACGCCTCTCCCCGGCGGCGACAGGTGGCAGCCCCACCACTGGGATAAGTCGCATCTGGCCAATCACCAGTTCGACGCCATAGGCATTTCAAAACGGACAAGAATCGGACAATGGAACGTGAGAACTTTAAAAGAACCACCCAGGCTAGAACAATTTGAAGGAGAAATGGACAAGCTGCAGATAGCAATAGCGGCGATCAGTGAGATGAGATGGAGCGGAAATGGGACTACAACAACATCAAACGGCAACTTAGTTCTGCATAGTGGCAACAGTAACGGCAGCAAATACGGGGTAGGAATCTTCGTGGCGAGGAGGATGAAGACGACACTACTCTCCTGGGTCCCCGTATCTGATAGACTCATTAAGGCCAGGTTTAGATGCAAAGCTAGGCACATCACCATCGTGCAATGCTATGCCCCAACAGAAGACGCCAGTAACGACACCAAAGACGACTTCTTTGCTGCTCTCACATCTACTCTCACGGAAATACACCGAGGTGACATCACTATTCTCATGGGTGACCTAAACGCGAAAATTGGTCCCAACAACAAGCGACTACTGAGATCAGTCATGGGCCAACATGGAATCGGGACTCGCAACAACAATGCGGAATGACTGACAGAACTCTGCCAGACATTCCAACTGGTCATTGGCGGCAGTTTATTCCATCACAAATATGTTCACAAATACACTTGGACATCTCCAAACGGGAATACACGCAACCAGATTGACCACATATGCATAAGCAGGAAATGGAGACACTCGCTACTAGATGTACGGAACAAGCGAGGAGCATCGATAGACAGCGATCACGAGCTGGTCATAGGCGAACTTTCAATTAAGTTGAACCGGAAACGACCACAGATCGCCAACATCACAAACCGACCGCTCCCCCTCAACCTTCATCTGCGTTACGAGCACACCTATCACCGCAACAAAATCACCCCTGGGAACAAGCATGCAGGACGCTAAGGGTGACCGCAGAAGAAATTATTGGCACGCAACAACGTAGAAGAACCAATTGGATATCCGACAGAACATGGGACCTAATTAGCAGGAGAAACAATCTAAAGGCTATGGCAGACCAAAACAGCCACAATCGTGATGAACATCGCGAACTGTGTAAAGCTGTAAAGAAGTCCGCCAGGAACGATAAGAGAGCACTAATGGATAGATTTGCAAACGATGCAGAACAAGCAGCCGGCGAAAACAACATGCGCTCACTATACCAGTTAGTAGCACGAATCTCTGGAAGCTACCAAAGGAAATCCCAACCAGTAAGAGACACAGATGGAAACCTGCTGACCAATGATGAAGCCCAAATAGAGAGATGGCGTCAACACTTCATGGAGATCAGCAACACTGCCACACCAAGCAGTAGTGATGACTTCAGAGGTATTGCACCAACAAATGGGATACTGAGAATCTCGTCCGCACCCCCATCAACCAGAGAAATCGGCAACGCAATAATTAAGCTGAAGCACAACAGGGCAGCTGGAGAAGGAAATATTGCATCGGAAATATTGCATCCACACGTCGCGAACAGATTCCAACTACCTGGAAAAGCGGAATCATTGTAAAACTGGAAACCAAGAAAGGAGACCTTAGCGACTCCAACAATTGGAGAGGAATCACACTGCTGAATACGAGCTATAAACCCACACTACTGAACGAGCGTCTTCAGGAAAAAATTTAGCCATCAATACGTGATGAACAGGCAGGATTCAGACCACACAGAAGTTGCGTAGACCAGGCAAACACACTACGCATAATTACCCAACAAGCTGTGGAGTGGCGGGCCCCGCTGTACCTCCTGTTCATCGATTTCAAGAAAGCCTTCGACTCAGTGGAAAGAGCGGCAATATGGGGCGCACTAGCAAGGTGCGGAGTACCGACCAAAAGTATCGCCATAATTAAGGCGATGTATGATGATGCCAACCTGTCGGTCCTGCACAATGGAAAAACAAGTACACCTTTCCAGACAAACACAGGTGTCAAGCAAGGCCCTCTATCGCCACTGCTCTTCAACATCAAGCGTGGCATCACGTGGAACTTCAACAGACATCTTGAAGACTTGGACTATGCGGAAGACATATGTCTGATCTCTCACAGGCTCTGTGATATCCAATCCAAAGCTGATGACCTCGTGGAGTTAGCCAGTCGAGTCGGGCTGGAAATAAACACGGCAAAAACAAAAGCGATGCGCCAATCACGCCAGCCAAGGAAATGTCAACATACGTGGGAACGAGTTTGTCGAGTTTGTCGATAACTTCCCATACCTCGGCACCATTATCTCCAACGAGTGGTGGCGTGAACGAAGATGTATCGAGCCGTCTTACCAAAGCCCGAGCAACATTCGGAAGACTGTGTCGCATATGGAAAAGCGGACAGATAAGCAGAAAAACCAAACTCCGAATTTTCAATGCCTGCGTGAAATCCACACTACTGTATGGGAGCGAGACGTGGTTGACCACACAAAGAATGATCCAACAGCTGCAGGCATTTATAAACAAATGCCTCAGACCTGTGGAGCATGACTGGTGAGTCACCAATCCACCTCCAGATAAGGAAGAGTAAATGGATGTGGATTGGCCACGCACTGCGGAAGGACCCACACAGCATTGTAAGGATGGAAGCAGACGGGTCGGCAGACCTAAGATAACCTGGCGACGGACCACCCTTCAGGAATTATCCCATAACAACATCACATGGGACACAGCTAGACAGACGGCCAGAAATAGAGTTCGATGGAAAGCGCTTGTAGAAGCTCCCAAGTGGAGTAAAAAGGAATTATAAAAAAAAAATTATGAAGAAAGTTATAGCTATTAATATAATCTCTGGCCAAGCTCTGCCCGCAGATGTTGTTGTTTTTGTTGCTTTAAACACGCTTTCCGTCATACACCCTTTACGTGAGCTCGTATATCCCAAAGATAATTATTCTACACTTGGTACATGGCATTTAGAATTCGTGGTACCCGAGATTGGCTTGTTATAATCTTGAAAATCTATTCACAAGAAATTTGGCTTTAAAAAAGAAATTTACGCTTATAAATCTGAGCTTTTATTTTTTAAGTAGTATTTTATTCTTGTTGAACTCTCAACCTAAGCCGATAGAGAGTTGGATGAGGACTATTTGTGTATGTACACCTGTATATCAAATAATTACGTTTCTGAAGAAATATGTTTAATATCGGATGCTTGGAGCACATTTTTGTTTAACATTAACTACTTAACCAATTATGTAATAACTGAAAAATAAGTTCTTATTAGATTATTGCAGAACGTGGCACGCATTCCCGAATTTGAGACTCTCTGGCGAGATATTCTCTATAATCCAAAGAGCCTGCACCCAACATTTAACGGTATTTGGCATATACTTCAAATACGTACAAGTCGTCGATTTCTACAATGTCGCCTTTTGCCGGAAATGGAGCGAAAGTTACATTTTCTTGCATCGTCGGTTAAATTCGGAAACCAGAAACGCTATCAGGATTGGTTTCAGGACAAATACTTTTCTACGCCTGAATCACATAGTTTGCGTTCTGATCTAATTCGCTTTATAATTAATGTGATTCACCCTACGAACGACATGTTATGCTCCGACATAATCCCACGCTGGGCGATTATTGGGTGGCTCATATCATCATGCACAAATCCCATAGCCTCAGCCAATGCTAAACTATCGTTGTTCTATGACTGGCTTTTCTTTGATCCATTAAAAGACAACATAATGAATATAGAACCCGGAATTTTAGTTATGTATCACTCTATCAGAAACCATCCGTTCGTCAGCAGTACACTATTGGATTTCCTGTGCCGAATCACAAAAAATTTTTATGTTAAGCATGAAGATAAAATTCGAATGGGCGTGTTTAATTCATTGAAACTAATACTTGATAAACAGGTATGTGCCACAAAAGGGAATAACATCTTTAACTGACCAACTCTTTCGTAAATTTGTTTCAGGTCATTCCAAATTTACAACCTCTTTTTGAATCGCCAAAACTAGACAGAGAATTGCGTAATTTAATACGTGAAAACTTTAAAGAGTTTATGGCGCCGAACCCAAATATAGCGCAAACGTTTAATACGCATTCAATACAACAAACGATTTTTAAAAAAGAAACGGATCAGCGCATAATGCATGGTGGTAAGCGATTTATATATATATTTATAAGTATAATAAATCCGTTCATTCATTCGTAGAACCAGTCGATGTACCAGCGTTTGCTTTAAATAGTTCCACGACCATTTTAGTGGTGGATGACGACACCAAGATGTCCAAGGTTCCGACACAGGGTACGGATAGAGAAGGCGAAGTTCCCTTTAGCGATGATGATGTTGACAATTCAAATATAAACAACAAACACGATGAAAATACAGATGACGACGATGATTTGCCATTGTCCAAAGTATGTTTCGTATGTTTTCGAATATCAACAATTTGTATTAATTTTACATTTAAGATTAAAGCTTTATTTTAAATTAGATTCAATTCAAACAGCCTTTATTAAAATGAGGTAAAACTTATAATATTAAACTACTGTAGAAAGACGGTTAGAAAACATACGCTCTAAATTTTATACTCTACATGGTTTGCGCGAGCTGCAAAACGTAACAGGCAAAAGGAGGGGTGGCAGACCCCACAAAGTATATACATATATATATATTCTTAATCAGCGTGACAAGATGAGTCGATCTATGTCTGTCCGTCCGTCCGTCCGAATGAATACCTGAATTTATTATTTATTTTTATAGCCTGTACCCAAAGGGTGAAAGGCTATACTAGTTTTGTGCGCATGTGTGTAACACACAGAAGGAGGCGTGGCAGACCCCACAAAGTATATATATTCTTGATCAGGATGAGAAGCCGAGTGGATATAGCCTTGTCCGTCCGTCCGTCTGACTGTCCGTCCGTCCGTATGAACGCAAGGATCTCAGAAAGTATAAGAGCTAGAATAACCAGACTTGGTTTCCATATTCTCCTAAGACCGAGAAAGTACGAGTTTGAGTTTTTTTCGATGCACCCCACCACTCCCCCGCAATTCGTGTTTTTTCTTATAACTTCCGTAATTCTCGGAATTTTGAAATAAATTTTGGTAGGTACATCCAGTTAGTACTAATGTGTCCGTGTGCCATTTCATCATGATAGGTCAATTCTGAAGAAAGTTATAGCCATAAGTAAAATCGCTGCTCATGCGCTGCCTGCAGCTCTGTCGGCAGCGCTGCCCGCAGCTGTTGTTGTTGTTGCTGCTTTGGTTCAACTTTGTGCTGCATACATACACGCATATAATCACGCATAGGTACGTGATGTAAATGTATGCTGTTAAAACTGAACATAAACATGTATTCTAATTTAATTAAATTAATTAATTAATTCATTCATTTTTTTAATAATTTAATTTTTTTCTTAATTTTTTTTTTTTAATTTTTCTTTTTTGTGTACTTTTTTCCTGTACTCTCAGGCTATTTTACTGTCGGGCTTGCTCGACTGTAGTGTTCTATCTTGTTAATATTAATTTTTTTAATTTGTACAATTATTCTACACCCGATTTTAGCTGCTCTACCATGTAATTGACATCCTACTTTATTGCTGGTTTTATAAGATTTTATAGCAACGAGACAACGTTACAGTTGAGATAGTCCGATCTAAAAAATACCGCAAAAAACTAAATATTCTCTTATTAGGATTACGATGGACACGTCTATATCGACTTGTCTCGTTAAGCTGATCAATAATACATTTAGTATACATGTTGAAGATGCTTTCTTAATCCTTTTATATACTTTGTAAATGGATAATAAAATTGCGATATATAGCTTGTATTGAAGTTGGTGACACAATTCACCATATCTAGCTTAGTGTTTAATTAAATAATATTAAAAATATATAAAATCATGTAATATAGAAACTGTTTCAAATGCTTTTTCATATTTTTTATTTCACAGGTGAGACTTAAAGAGAAACCTGTTCCAGAGAAAGTTGAACTGCCAGAAGCAATAACTGAATCATTTGAAACATTTTTTACAAAACGTAATTCTTTTACATGGGAAACATTTCTGAAGGATTTCCGTTCGTTAACCGCTTCTGCCCTGGACGAGACACAGCTGAACTATGTTACCTCGAATACAGTTTTGATTCTACGTGAAACACTGCCACAACAGAACATATTAACTGAGAGTAAAACGGATGAAAAGTTGTTAGTAAAAAGCATTAGCTATCCGTTGTTTGGGCTGTTTCGATTTTTATACGAAAATGATGACAAGAGTAAAAAACCCTTTCAGTCTTTGCTCTCTGAGATATGCGAACGTATACCCGAAACCGGTTACCTATTGCTGTACTTTATGAAGGTCCATTGCAAATTGCAAACACGAAAAAATGTCCAACATACATATCAGTTTAAAACGGCCGTCTACCGACAGATTTGTGAAGCGATGGATGACAAAATCGGAAATTGCCTGGTGCGGGACCTCGATCTGCTTGAAAAAGAAAATACCATTATTTACTTGTGGTTACTTCCCGATATTTATAGAGAGTTTAAATTAATAGCAATTAATAATACCGATTTGCTGCGTATCACTTTGCGATGTATCGATGCAAAGAATGTACGTGACATCATGTATTCAGTGGCACAGGGTAAGCTTACTTTATTTAAACAGGATGGCCTCATCGATTGTATACGAGAAAGCCTAGAATATGAAACGTATGAGCAATTTTGTCTTTGGCAGCTGGTTCAGGCGCATGATGTACCACTTAAGTGTATTCAGGTATGGTCCATTATTATCCTGTTTTGGCCAGAGTTTCGTTCATATGAGTATTGTAGGATTTACTACCTGAGCTTGAAGCTGCAAGTCATCCTGAAGCACTCAGCCATTTGTTATTGCTGTTGAAAAATGAAGAACCTACAAATGAAATTATACGTCTTTTGCTAAGCAGAGAAGCTAAGTCTAGGGGAGATCCATTTGTCACCTCCGCTTTAAGGTAATGTCGTCGAAAAGGTAGTATAAAAATAAAGAATTAACAAATCCCTATAATTGATAGGTTCTGGTGTCATCGTAGTGAGGAAAAGTTGTCTGAAATAATAGCGTCACTTTTGACATCTAAATACCCCAGTTCATCTCCCAATAAGCGTAAGCGACCTTCAAAAGGTTGTTCTGCTGCGAGCAGCACCCCATCTTCTGATCAAGTAAAACAATAACACAATGTGAAAAAATACAAATAAATCTTGTTACTATTGATTTTTGTTATAGGTATTAACCCACTTAGAGCATTATAGAAGAAGCTGCAGGCATGGAACTGGCACTGGGCTATACGTTCATGACATGATGCAGCGGGCCCTACAATCTGCTTACTCTCATAGTAATGAAATCACAAAAGTAAGTATCAACAAACTAAACATTTACCTTTTTATACTCTGTACATGAAATGTACAAGAGTATATTAGGTTTGCGGGAGCTGAAAAATGTAACAGGCAGAAGGAGGCGTGGCAGACCCCACAAAGTATATATATTCGATCTAGGCCTGTCTGTCTGTCTGCCCGTCTGTCCGTCCGTATGAACACCTGGATCTCAGAGACTATAAGAGATAGAGACACCAAATTTTGCACAAATATGCCTTATGTATGTACGCTATACGAGTTTGTTTTATATTTTTGATTTTTCCCCCACTTCCCCCCTATGGGGGTTTTCCCGATTTTCCATTCGTATAATCACCTATATCTTGGAGACTATAAGACCTAGGAACACTAAATTTTAGTACCAGATGCCTTATGTGAATACGCAGAAAATGTGTATTTTGGAATTTCGAACTAAAATTTTGGAAATACCCTCAGTTGGTTATTATGTGTCTGTATGCCAAGTTTAACTATGATAGACCGATGTAACAAGAAGTTATAGCCATAAATATATTTGCTGCTGCAACGCTGCTCAAGCGCTGCCCGCGGCTGTTGTTGATGCTGGTGCTTTGGTTGACTGCACACATGTTTACACAGACACGAATAGATGCGCATAGGCATACATACACTCACACAGACGCAATTGCTATGTAAATGTGCAATTATACACCCTTTACGTGAGTTCGAATACCGAGAGAGGTAAAATCGATCAAATTTTTTTTTAATTTTCTTAATTTTTTTTATTTTCTATAATTATTGTAAACATGTATACAGAGTATTTCAAAGTCGGGACACCCGACTTTAGCTTTTTTACTTGTTTTGTTATTAAATTGGAATATTTTTCAAACTAGAAACAATTCAGTGATCTGTTTGCTTTGGCTGCAGAAGACGAAACCACTGCAGTTGGTCGGCGTGGTGGTAGCGGGCGTGGACGTAAGCAACCACTTAGTAAAAAAGACTCAAATAACCAAAATGCTGGAAATAAGAAGATTTCAGATGTTGTAAAAAACATATACTCATCTGATGAGAATTCTAGTGAGGTAAGCCAGTAGTAGTAAATCAACAAGCGTTGAGCTTCATGACTTACTATGTGGTACGAAGACCGGCAGGAGTTTATTTAAAAGTTTTATAACTCTTGCTTTTGGTATTTTTTTATATAGGAGGATTGGTCAAAGCATAAAATAACACAGGCTGCAAAAAAACGTAAAAAACCCATTAACGACTCCGACTGACAACGTTTAATGTTGTATGTTCTCATCTGTTCTCGCGGCTACTACAAATTAAGATGAGTTTGTGAACGAAATGGCTTATATTCGGATGGTTCAAAAAATTTTCAATTTATAAGTAAGCTAATGAAAATTGTTTCGAACGTTAAAATGAAACGTTATATATTTTTATTTTTAATAAAAATAAAGTTTAACATCCAAATTCTATAGATATATATACTTGTAATTCAAAATAGGCAACAAGTTTCAACGATAAAAAGGAAACCATATCTCCCTTTTGGAGGTTTGAATTAATTATGGTGAAGCTGATAATGGAACGAATTTGTCACATGTGACCAAAGTCCAAATATTCCTACAGCAAAATATAATTATGTTGATAAGGCGGAAGATTAGGTTAGGTTAGGTTAGGTAGGCGCGGTAGTCAGGATTATACCCCTGAGTCACTTAGGCCAAAATTTTTAGGAATTCTTGAGAGGAACCATACCCGTCGGAGGCGTCGTTTGTCGGTATTAAGCTCAATCACCTGGGGATTCCAAAAGTGGACGTCCCTGCTGGTGTCTCTCGGCTAGCTTGAGAGCCTGGGCGCAGCATGTGCCGCTGCCACATGAATTTGCGTGGTGAAGTTCGCGGCGGCCGCGTCGATGTCTTCGGTACTGTCCAGTGGTGGGTTGGGGCTCGTGAAGATATTCAGCCAGTGATGGTATCTGCTGATGTCGGACCTTTTATAGATTAGCTTTTTACGGGCGGTTCGCAGCATGGCTGAGGCGTACACGGAGATGGCGATGGAAGTTAGCAAATACCTCCAGTTAGTGATTATGAGTCCGTATGTTAATTTTCATGTGGGGTGGGTTGGACGAGTGGAATCTTGTACTTCCTAGTAAAGAGTACCAACTCAGTTTTACTGAGATTGACGCTGAGTCAACTCGTCGTCGCCCATCTGGTTAGTGTGCTGGGGGCATCAGTCATGCGGTTGTACAGAGTCGCACACAGCCGTGTCTACCTAGCCTAACCTAACCCTAGTTAAAGTGCACGTGCGGGTCTTGCCTGTGCAATTTGGTTGATTCAGCTTTTGGCTTTGCGTCCTCAGTCCGGAAACCGTGCCTTCGCAGATTCAAGGCTCTTGGATGAGGACTACATCTGTATCCTCCTGGCTGTGACGAAGCGGAACAGCAGCGGATGCTGCTTTACAGTAGTGAAGATTTATTTGAAGAAACCTCAGGGGCATCTTCCGAATTAACGTCCACACTGTAATGTCGTCCTCGAGGTGTAACGACGCCCTGTCCACCGTCACAGGGTGTCGTCACTAGAGAAGGACGGCGAGGTGTAGTTTTAAGGAAAAGGACAGATGTATATAGACGTAAGATAGTATTGTTCAAAATGGGAGTCGTTGGCCCGGAGGCAGGCAGCTGCGCAGCACAGCGATAAGATAGTGGCATTCATTTATTTGTCAAGTGCCACTAAAGACCGCCTACACTAAATAAAACAAATAAAATAGTATCCGCATCACCTTCTATTTTTGGGGGTTCAAGTAACAAATAACTTGGACTACTCTGGTCGGCCTTAGCTGTTCTGCCTTGGATTGAAAAAATTGTAGAGTTTTCAGCTTTCGCCCGTCTACTATTAGTCAGAACTATCCGGCATGACCGTGCCAGAGGCCTGCTTCCAACCGCCCTCGCGAAGAGAGTATAGTCGCACTACCAGTGGTGTATCACAATTACGTCGCGTACCAGCTGGCTTGGTGGTTACACTTGATCCCCTTGTGATACCCATTGGCTGGCGGGCAAACGGGATTTTACCTTCTTAGTACTAACTTTGTTTTTCAAAAAATGGTCCAGAGCTATTGCTTTTTAATAAACGAACTCCATATTATATTGGTTCTTAAAAGGAAGTAATGCTGGTTTAGAATTACGAGTGCATTCTTATGTCATGAGATCCTCAATGGCTTCCAATGCGCACCAGAGCTGACCTTGCTAAAAACGAATTTATTTACATCCATGTTAGAATCCGCTTTATCCTTTTGATATCCAATGATAACGTACTTTGGGTAGCTTTTCATTCCCGTCAAACACCCTTGGTTTGCGCGAGGTTGATTGTGGTGAGGCTGCACATTTCTTTAGGTTTGCTTGTTACGAGCAGTTCCATCTTGAACCGTTCTGAGCGAACACTTTGACACTACTTTACGTCTTCCTTCTCTCTTTTTCTTTGTCGTTCTGCCATTGACAAAGAGCACGGCCCGCTACTCTTGATGGAACCGATAATTTCCCTTATCCCCGATGCTACCTAATATCGATTTCTATAATACAATTGGTAGCACTTGGCCACACCACTCACGCACGAGTACTCGGTGTTGGTATCGGCAGGCGCCCGCTGCTAAGTGCGAGTTGCCATCCCCTCCGTCCGACGCTATTTGAGGTTTCCCAATACTGCCGCGTCGCAAATAACAACGTTACATTGATAAGCTTGCTACCCTGGTAAGCGGTAGTTTAGTAGTTGGAGTTGAATGCCATTGTGAAGAAAAAGACATGTGATCTGTACATGAAATATACAAGAGTATATTAGGTTTGCGGGAGCTGAAAAATGTAACAGGCAGAAGGAGGCGTGACAAACCTTACAAGGTATATACATACTTCATCAGCATGACAAGATGAGTCCATCGAGCCCTGTCCGTCCGTCCGTATGATCTAGATCTTAGAGAATATAGGAGCTAGAGACACCAAATTTTGCACAAAGACGCCTTTTTTTGTGTACGCTATACGAGTTTGTTTTATTTTTTTCATTTTCCTCCGACTTCCCTTCTATGGGGGTTTTTCTGTACACCAGACATGAGCAGGTATAAATAAAATGTGGTCCAAGTTGTATAGGGGGGTGGCTTGGATAGTTGTAGGGGGCCTTTTCTTCCCAATGACGAAAACGGCTGGTCGTTGTAGTTTGTGTGTGTTGGTTTATTTGTGACGTTTATGTACAGAGTTTGGTAGTGTTTAGTGATATGTACAAATGGTATGTGAATGTTTGTATGTGTGTAGAGGGTACACCGAACTGCACTGGGGTCACTTGCACAAAGCGGTGTGAAAAGACGCGAGTACGTTTTTCAACTAAACTTACAGCCCAGAGGAGGCTGCGCTCGCAGGTCAAACGTTCGCGTGGGAGGAGGTGTCGGACCCTGCCGCCCTTAACCTCTTAACATCCCGCCCCCTTGCAATATATTGGAAAAAAGGCGCATTGAAGGTGGGACGTCACATCCAGGAAGTGAGCTGTAAGGGGACGCTTGGAGTGCGTTTATTGGCGGCAGGCACCGGACAGAGTCCAGCCAAACACGGTGCTCTGGGCTACAGGGCGACCGTCTCGACCCGGGATGCACCCTGCTTGGATCAGCCTTGGATACACGTCCGCCCCGAGCACTAGCGGAACCGTGGATGGCCGGTAGAAGTTTGGATCGGCCAGGACCAGGGTGGCAAACTCGTCTCGGATCGCACCTTCCACAGCTCTTTCTGGAGTCCGCAGTTGATGCGGAGGGAGACATCCAAACGGAAGGACGAGAGGGCCCTGGATCGGACGACAGCGGTGGCGACGTCTTGGTTGGTGGGCAGACGCAAGGCAGCCGCAAAGGAAGCGTTGATGCTGCTCCTTGGCGTGCAGCTGTCGATGAGTGCACGGACCTCGAAGGTACGAGTGCTTGTGTCGACAAGTACCACTGCAGTTGGCAACAACACAGATGAAGGGAGCTGCTGCCGTGAAAGTGGTGGTGGAACACATGCTGGCGGTTGAAGAGAGTCAGACCGCTGCAACGACGCACAGTGGGGCCTTCGGACTTTTTTCGTTGCAAAAATCATATCTTCTGAACGGCTGAAGCAATTTTCGTCATTCAAATTTTGTTTGAAAGAAAAATTCTTAAGCTTTGAAACAAGTCATAGCGCATTGTGCTGTGATTTGTAGGAGCAATGTGTGCTCAAAGTTGGATTTTGTTGCCAGTGCAATATTTGCCTAATCAAACTAATAAAAAACATTTAATGATACAATTATTTTCAGTTATGTTATATTTTTAGTTTTTAACAAATTAAAAATTGAAAAAAAAATTGTTTAAATATTACAAATTTTTTTTTTAATTTCAAAATATTGAAAATTTTTTTTACATAAAAAAAAATTAAAATAAAATATTTTGTTAATATTTTATGATTACATTAATTTTTATTATAAAGTACTGACAGCTGCAATTATTTACATTAATATGTTTTCTTTAAAATAGTCGTCTACATTCGAAGGAATATCTAATAATTTCACCATGTCCGAAGAATAATTACTAACTAATTCTTTGTGAGACCTCACATGTCTAAGGGATGAAACCAGTGGATCTGAAGAGGCTGACAACATATTGAAGAGATCCTCGTTTTGCCTTATTCGTGACGTCTTGCATGTGTTCAAATATCTGAATTTTTTATAGTCCTTGTTCCTCGACTCTTGGGCTTCCTCTGACATTTCTCCAATTGGTCATGAAGTGTTACTTGCACTGACTGTTCCGTCACTATTGTGGGCTGAGGTACTGCCTCTTTCTTAGCCGATCCTATTTGTTTGTACCCAGGAAGAACATCAACATTATGCCGAATTAGGGAATGTCGCAATATTAAATATTTTTCCTTTGACAATCCCAAATCCATAAACAATGCCAAAGCCTCATCGGCACTGAACTGCTTTGGCAGTAAGTTTGGCGGAGTAGGAATGCTTTCCTTGATCCTTTTAAGTCGCACTGGGCTTGCGTCAGCAACCGCTTTTGTGACTTGCGATTTTATTTTTTCCTGATCCTTGGTGTATTTCATGGACAGCGCCTCCGACAAGTGATCCGTAGCTATGGCTTCTGTGACATCGACAAGCTTTCTTTTTCTTGTAAAATCCGAGCATTCTTCAATGGATTTCGTTGGTCTTCCTCTGGCTCGTCCAGTTGATGTAGAGGGTACATCGTCCATTGATGTATCCAAGTACGTAGTCGTTGATAGCCAGATTTCATATTTTAAATCAAATTTCTGCTTGCTATATCCTACGCTTATCCATTTCTGTTTGATTTTAGAATAAATTAATTTAAGCTTATTTCTCAACATTTTTTGCTGATCTGCACTTTCCAGAGCATCATACAGCTCTTCCAGAACAGCTTCTTCAAATTCCTTCTCATCATTGGAATTCCTAAATAGATCAAATAATGTTGCATTTTGCACAGCCATGTTAAAGAAAAATCACTTTTAAGGTATTTAAACGTAAATTATATTGAAAAATACTATTCACTGCTAGTTAGACACAACTGATTGCTTTTTAAGTCAAAATTCGACTATTACGCTGCACCAAAAATATTGGCAATATATACCATTTCTAAACGCATACCTAAGATAATAAACTAAAACCTCTTTTTGCCTGTTCAAATGCTTTAAAGCAAAGAAATTACAATTCATAAAAGGGTCAAAAAGATTGCAAGACCTTCACCTGATATTGTAAATTACACAACCTGTAATAAATGTTATGCATAATTTTGGTTGCACAATATTAAATGTGGATCAAATAGGACCGCTTAGGTATATTTTTGTATCCATAATGCTAAATACAATGTTCCTAATAGCCGTTACTGCGAATCTACCTGCAATGCATTCTTCTTCTTATACCCGCGGCAGCGCCTTTTTCGCTGATTTTTTTCCGAAGTTGCGGCACTCTTTTTGCTCTGGTGCACACCGGCGGATCCGGGCGGATGAAAGTTTTATTGCGTTAGGTAAAAGAATATTTAGGGAACATATTTTGAAAATATGGGCGAGGTACTTTTGGGTACTTTTTTTTTATTTTCCATCAAAGTTGAAAAACACCCTAAAAATAGGTAGTTTAAAAAATAACGTTTTCTAGATAACTACAAATACGAAAGACATAGTTTTTATTAAATAATGCATAAAATTAATTCATCTAGCAATACAAATCAAAACATCAATGATTCGTTTCATAACTTAGCTAATATTATACCTGAAAGATGAAGTATTTGCATCAAATTGAATTAATTGTTGCGAGCTTAAAAAAGGGTCGACTTTGAGTGCACATATGTCCTAAACTATAATTCCGATTTTTTTGAGAGTAAGATTTTCGTAATCTTTGGAAAAAAAACTATTAGACACGTTTATTCATTACTCCCAAAGCGTTCATGAAAATTTTGATTTTCGCAAGCTGTTTCGGCCTAAGGCCCCACTGTGCGACGTGGCTCTCTGGGGCGAGCGAGACCAGTGGGGCGAGGAAGAGCGCCGGGGCGAAAGCGACCGCTGTCGCTCTTCGATGTGGAGAAGCGTGTGGTGATCTCCTTGGCACCGGCGGCACTTGTACCGTTGTACCTTCGCTGGACTGGAAGTCTGCCCATCAACTGTGTTTGCAACCTTTTCTTGTGGATTACGCAAACCTCGCAGGAGTTGATCACTGATTTGACCAGGTTCCGTAGCCTCGGAATCCAGTACTTGGAGCGGACGGGGTTCACTGTCACCTGGTTTCCGCCGTAGAGTGAGATGCGGTGCGTAAAGAGAACCAAGACACGTGAGAAAACGCAGTTGTAAGGTAGGATGACCGGATGAACGTATCCGATACAGACAGCCGGCCACACGCCCTCATGACTCCGTGGGCATCTAGGAAGGGGTTCAAGTTGAGGATACAACTTGAAGTGGATAAGCTCTTCATGTTTAGCAAGCATTGGTAGTCCTTTGGGTATTCCCTTTGCTGAGTACGGAGGATTAGGATCCGTTGGGCCTCGACCAACTCACCGTTGCTCAGCTCTTTGGACTTTGGAGACGGGACCTTTTTGCAGCGTCGGCAGAACCGATAGATGTAGGCTACCACGCGCAGGGCTCTGCCGAAATCGGAAAAACGCTCCAGAAAGTCCCCTCCTGCGGGCACGGATACGAAGTTCACCCGATTGGTACGTTGCTCCATTTCCGTGATGAATGGAGGGTGCTCGATGATGGGCCAGCTTTCCTGCGGCATCCGAACCCAAGACGGCCCATGCCACCACAACTCGCTGTCTGCCAAATCTTGTGGAGGGACCCCTCGACTTGCCAAGTCCGCTGGGTTGTGCTCCGACCGCACGTGAAACCACCTGTTGTCCGTCGTGGACTGCGTGATTCTTGAAACTCGGTTCGCCACGAAAGTGGTCCAATTGCATGGTGGCTTGCTCAA